CAGCCACTTCGTCCCAATATGAAAGTCCTCCACGATCGCGCTTCGCGAGATTCGAACCCAGGACCTATCAGTCACAAAAGTGAACTGTTAAAATTAACAAATATAGCTAATTAATAATGTTATGAAATTGCTATTTATTAAAGTGTGATTAAATATTAAAGACAATGGGGAAAAATTCAATTTCATAAGTCCCATGACATGCAACCAAATAAGATTACCATCTACAAGCACAACTATACCATTTTTTTATTGTTCAGAAAGGTAAAAAAGTTTATAATAGACTAATTTTAAGTAATCTATAAAGAATAACACAGAGAAATAGATATAAATATTTATTAGCTGTTCAGTTAATGTAGAATATACTGCTGAATACAAGATAAGTAGTTTGTTGCAATTGTTTATGAGATTTTCCACTAGTTTAATATTTAAAAAATGGACAAAAGAGGAAATTTTTTGACCAATTAATCTGTTAATTTGGATTACTGAATACATTAGTTTTGAGCTTTTAATGAATTCAATACAAACTAAGTTCACACTATCATCCAGATATATTATGTTTTAAACTTCGAAGATGAACTAACTCTTCTATCTCATACGCTGCAAAAAATCCAGGTGAAGACAGTTATTTTAGCAACAGCCTCTGAACCATCAAGCCTCAATTTACATAAGAGAAAAATTAAGATTCTTTACTACAATACAGCATCAACCAAATCACACGTGATGGAGAAGCTCTGGAAGGGCTGGAATTATTCATATACCTAGATGGCCTTATCTGTAAACAAAGAGAATAAGATACAGATGTTAAGGCAGCGATTGGTAGATCACAAGGACCATTTCCACATTTATAGAACATCTGAAACTTAGAACAACTGTCAGCCAACATCAAAGTCAGAATTTTTAATACAACTGTCAAGACAATTCTACTGTATGGAGCTAAAACTCGGAGAACTACAACAACCATCATCAAAGAAGTACAGGTACTTGTAAACAATTGTCATCCCGAGATACTCTTGATTTACTGGCCAAATACCATCAGTGACAACTTACTGTGGTTAAGAGAAAGCCAATTTCCAGATAAAAAGAATATTAGGAAAAGACGCTGCAGGCAGATAGAGCACACATTACGATAATCATCATAACGCATCTAAAAAAAAGCTAATTTTGAATCCTGAAAAGAAAAGAGGAACGAGCAAAAAAATACTTATTGTGTTAGGGGGTTGAAGGCGGATAACGAAATAATGAACATCAGTTGGAAGCAACTGAAAAAGAGAGTCCTGTTGGAGATCCATGGTTTGTGGCCTATGCTCCACAACATGTAGCACTCATAAGTAAGTAAAATAAATAATATTGTTTTCACACAGAAAATCAATCCTAGAGAGAATCAATATAATGACGAATCTAGTATTATGGTAACGGTTAAAGGTACGCAACAGCATATTATAGACTTAAGTTTGTTTCTATTAGACACTCCTTAGCAAGCTGTTTCTATAAATTTGAGGGAACTGACACCCTGTAGCGGATTCGATCTCATATCATGAATCTTCCCAGTCAGAGACGTTACCACCTAGCTATTAATGCTGTGATTGTTCTCCTGAGTTCGATTACCACTATGAAGGACCTAGCATACATAACAACGGTCACTGCTCAGTGATCAATCAATCCCAATCAAGTTTAGTTTATTTAATAGGATTTGTATTTTCCTATCATTAATGTTCAAAACTACAGCTTATCAGCCTCTATTGGCAAATATGCACCCTGATTTGATTACTTGAATATTAACTTTTAGTATCAAGCTTTTATCCTAGTTGGATGGTGACTAACAGTTGAATGTGAAGATACATCCATTAGTTTTTCAACTACCCCATCATTTTATGTATGTACAGATAGTCTTGCCAAATTAAGTTCATGATTCATCATCTATACACAAACATTTTCATTGCCATTTGTATATGACAATCGTTTTGGCCTTACTTTATCCTTAAAAGTTCTACAGTTCTTATGGAAACAGTTAATCTACATAGAAAGTGATATCATTCTATTTGATACGTTATCGCCATAAATAGCCATTAACCATTTACAAATTGACTGATAAAATTCCTCATGTATTTCAATGAAAACTTGTGTAAGTTAAATTGTACATAGTTATTATATAAAATAGTGATAATAATAATAACAATAGTTCAATTTTGCTAATCATATATGAAAATACAATAAGACGAACCAATAGCTAGTGAGTTAGTTAGTTAATTAGTTAGTGAGTGAGTGAGTTAGTTAGTGAGTGAATTAGTTAGTTAATTAGTTAGTTAGTTAGTTAATTAGTTAGTGAGTGAGTGAGTTAGTTAGTTAGTGAGTGAATTAGTTAGTTAATTAGTTAGTTAGTTAGTTAATTAGTTAGTGAGTGAGTTAGTTATTTAGTGAGTGAGTGATTTAGTTAGTTAGTTAGTTAGTGAGTTAGTTAGTTAGTTAGTGAGTGAGTGAGTTAGTTAGTGAGTTAGTTAGTTAGTGAGTGAGTGAGTTAGTTAGTTAGTGAGCTGGTTAGTTAGTTAGTTAGCGATCAATGATCCATTGATTACTTGCGGCTGTGTTAAGTAAGATACATGATCTTATGTTTCTAGACCGATTAACATTTTGAGTTTGACTCAGCGAAATGGTAAGAGTAAATTATTAAACCATACATAAATCGATAATATATTAGTAATATCTCAATGTGTAGAAAAAAATAGATTTTCTGACGTTTCGTGACTTAGTGTAAGTCACTTCTTCAGAGAATAAATAACCAAATTAAACTTGGATTGATTTTAATTTAGTTATTTATTCTCTGAAGAAGTCGCGAAACGTCAGAAAATCTATTTTTTTCTACTCATTGGGATATTACAAATATATTATTTATTTATAATAATCTACCGAATGCTCAATTTATTTGGAATTATCAAATCAAACCTTGGTAATGATACATACAAACTCAGTAAACCGTATAGTTTGCAATAAAAAGCAAAACTACAATCTCTTCACAAGCCAAATTGAGTTATATGCTTCTTAGTATACTGACAACCTTCCAAACATACGTTCTAAACCTTTCACTTCTGTCCTCCGATTATAAAGGCATCAAGGAAGAAAACGTCAAAAGGTGGGTATCTGTTTCATGAGCTTGGTGTGATCTAATATTCTAATCGACAAACTTTGTCTGTTCTGTGTTCTGATTTTATACTTTTTATTTTTTCTACCTTTACATGTAGTGATATTATTTTAGTACCCTTGAATTTTTTCTCATTTTTGTATTTTATCTTCATTATGACGGAGCAGAAACCAAAACAGTTCAATATTTAAACTCTAACGACAGTTGTCTTTCAAAGCATTCCGTTCTGGCCGAATAACATCGAAACCTGGTTCCGCTACGTAGAAAGTAACTTCCATGAACACGCAGTGACAGATCCACATGAGAATTGCAGTAAAGGCGTTACTGTGCGAGTTGAAAAGGTACGTTACATCTTGCATGTTTCTGAACCTTACGATACCTTGAAAAGGGCTATCCAAGCTAATTACCAGCTGCATCGTCACGGGCTACAGGATAGACTGACTAGAGCAATTAAAAGAACGTTTGACGCAGCTGACCTATCTATATCGTACTCAACCCGATCTATGATAATTCTTCAATAAAAAAATTTAAGTTACTTTATTCTGCCACATTTATGTGTATCTGCCAATACAGCTTCTCCTGTGGAGAAAGCTACACTGAGCCAACGAGCAAGTGAACACCTCCCTTCGTAGTTAAGGGAGGGTACAGTCATGACAATACGCAGCTCTGATCTATCACACCTGATCGATACTAGACATGGAGCAAACAGAATAGATCATTTGAGGTGATTTATCATATCCCTACTGGTTTCTCTGCTGGGTTTCGATCTCGTCCCTTACACATAGGAGGAGCTATAGGAATTCCAGCTAACTCGAAATCTTTGTGTTCATAAGAATTTCGTAACACCTTTGTCTCTCCCTTGGCCTCAGTAAGTAATTTTATTCATTATTACATTCTATACACTGTTCGTCTATTTTTCTTCATCCCCTCTCAACTATTTTTATATACGCTTCACTGCCCAGTTTTCTGAACACTTCTTATTACGTAATCTTATAATTTTTATGAATGTTGTTTCAGCGCCTTTATTTTTCTAATTATTGACCTACTTCGCAATATTAAACGTTGACTCAACCTTTTATTATTGTTATCACAACTTGTACACCTGTCACCACTTTATCAAATTGTACTATTCACTTATTATGTTTTTTTACGCAATCTATTCCGCTGTGATCATTGACTCATAAACTGCTTTGATGAGCTTAATATGCATATAACTATTGCTGTATATAAGAGCAAAGCCTCAAGAGGATCTAATCGAAAACAACACTGTTCGCCTATATATGTTGTTCTTAAATACAAGATAGTGGTTTTTCAAATTTCAGGATGACAAATCACCTAATCTTCGTGGCGACTACTACCTGATGGGAAATGCTCGGTTATGGAAACTGGGTTGTACCACTGAAGAGAAAAAAGATATATTGTATAGATTAAGAGGGTCAAAATATTTCTTGATAACAGACCTGAAAGATGTGCACTTACAAATTACAAGTAACTACTGCTAAAATACTATTTGGTTTATCTAGACACAAATCTCAATCTAGACGCTTTTGTGATGTGTGGCCGTAATTCCACCGAAGTGTCAGTTTCAAACTAATTCTATCAACTGTCTATTCTGTCGTGAATGCACAGTGCTGCGCACCCAATACTGGGACGAAACGGCCGTAGTTCTAGTGTGGTAAATGACAATACAAATGGGGACAATCGAATGTATTTCAATACAACATTACAGAATATCTTGATAAAATCTGAGAATCATATAGTAAATACTTCATTTTCATAGTGTTAATCAATTGTCTCAGACATGATTTCTCCATTGTTTCCACACCAATCAATCTCGGTTCTCAGTCATTTTTCTTCGATCTTCTTAACCTTCTGCCATCGAGCATTCCACTTTTGATTGATGTTGCATACTACTTATATCTGTCGACATCCGTTTGTCCCCACCCGTGATCCTGTTCACTACAGTAGTAGTAGTAGTAGTAGTAGTAGTAGTAGTAGTAGTAGTAGTAGTAGTAGTAGTAGTAGTAGTAGTAGTAGTAGTAGTAGTAGTAGTAGTAGTAGTAGTAGTAGTAGTAGTAGTAGTAGTAGTAGTAGTAGTAGTAGTAGTAGTAGTAGTAGTAGTAGTAGTAGTAGTAGTAGTAGTAGTAGTAGTAGTAGTAGTAGTAGTAGTAGTAGTAGTAGTAGTAGTAGTAGTAGTAGTAGTAGTAGTAGTAGTAGTAGTAGTAGTAGTAGTAGTAGTAGTAGTAGTAGTAGTAGTAGTAGTAGTAGTAGTAGTAGTAGTAGTAGTAGTAGTAGTAGTAGTAGTAGTAGTAGTAGTAGTAGTAGTAGTAGTAGTAGTAGTAGTAGTAGTAGTAGTAGTAGTAGTAGTAGTAGTAGTAGTAGTAGTAGTAGTAGTAGTAGTAGTAGTAGTAGTAGTAGTAGTAGTAGTAGTAGTAGTAGTAGTAGTAGTAGTAGTAGTAGTAGTAGTAGTAGTAGTAGTAGTAGTAGTAGTAGTAGTAGTAGTAGTAGTAGTAGTAGTAGTAGTAGTAGTAGTAGTAGTAGTAGTAGTAGTAGTAGTAGTAGTAATATTAGTAGTACTAGTAATAATAATAATACTAACAATCATGTTTCATTGAAGTTTCAAATGCTCCCTTTTCTTCAGTATACGTTGCGATACACCAGCAGTTTACATAATCATTAAGTGAATGAAATGAACTGTTTGTAGATAGAGAATTGTTTATACTTTCATCTCCTCTTGTAAATGGACCACACATAGATAATGGTGACAGTCAGTCTTATATACTGAAGCCTCGTTCAATATTTCGACAGCAATTTAATGAATACGCCCTGTTGGATAAAATCTACAAATAATCTGTATATATTACAAGCGATCACATGATGATTGAGTGAAGAGTAAAAAATAAAGGTTTCTTCTTCTTCACCTTAGTATTATTATTAGCTCAACTGAATTGCTTTCTAGTTGATTCTTTTGATCTACGAGTTGCATTGCCATGGAATATTCTCAAATGAAGTAGCGTTGAAAAGCCATTTCTTCATGGTGCAGAACGTTTCATGGATGAGCACCTATGGATACACTAGGGATGGAGAACTATAGATTTCCTAATTCAAGATTAGATATTGTAGAGTAGAGAAGCCTTATAGAATCGTGCTGAAAGTAGTCACTTATTTTTACATCAACATTACCTTTTTATATTTACGAATTAAGTAGTTAAATATTGACAGAATTTAATAATAAACATAATCACTATTCAATAAATGGTACTTCTCTCATTTAAAATCAATCAGAATTAGATAGAATGAAAAATAAGTCAATAATTCGTAAAGCAATTGTGTAACATTATTAGAAATCATTACATGTGACATTATTAACGTGAGCCTGGAAGAAGAAGAAGAAGAAGAAGAAGAAGAAGAACAAGCTGTACGTAAGTTGAACCTACAGAACAATTGACAAAACTAATAAGTTTTCCCTTTTTGTACTCGAACCGCGTCGTTCAATTTTACTGATTTTTCTTCAAAAATATATCTGTTGCGACAATACGCCACGTTCTTAATTCAAAGGCATTTATCAGTTCTAATAGTTGTGTTGTTGTTTCAGATTGACTCCTGATTCCAACTAAATGCCAGTATTACATACTACAGTTTATCATCATATTCATGGAAGAATAGCGATGTTTCTTATAGCTTATTACAAATTAGTTTTTCATGTCTAATCTTAATTGACATCATCATCATCATCACTATTAGTTGAATCAACCAACAACAAAAAATGTATCACATATAAGAATTGAATGTTGAATAGTAAGAAGGACAATTTATTGATTATTTTTTTATTGATTATTTATCACTGACATTATTCACCTTTTATTATTATTATTAGAATCTTTATTCAACTTTATATTTTTTGGTACAATCTAGAATTCTCAGCATAAATTCATTCAACAAGTTTCCCCTTTTCTTATATCTTGATCGATTGTGACGATAAATTTTGAATGATGATCAGTTACATGTTAGGAGTTCGGTCATTCACATTTGATTAATGTTCATTCGTTTCAATGCATATTGCCAGCCAACATGGTGTCACTCATTGTACCTTTTTGTATTCCGTATAGCGAAAGCTTGTAAACTTTTCATAAACGCGCCTGAATAGATTGTGCGCACAATAGACATAATGATGTACTAAAACAAACAACAAAACAGATAACTTGATGAAACATCTAAATCGTAGGAACTTACATTATACTATTGGAACATTTCTAAGATCAATTTTCGAAATGGTTTGTCACAATTATTCTAGTTATTAGATGACATTGTTTTATTACTGAGGAAATAAAGTAATGAAGCAATCACTTGGTCATGTGATATGATCGGATGAGTTTTGTAAATCGTATAGTCAATAAAATAAGTTTTCTATTATTTTGAATGATGATATATTTATCAGTATGGTTTGTGAAGATTATTAAGTTTTTGATTAAGAACATGAATGGATCAATGTTAGCACACCAACGAAAATCAGCAAGTACTAGATGGTCGTTTTGTCCTATTGTGAGACTCTTCAGCGGTGTTCATTCACGATCCTGCCTAGCGTGATTCGAACCCGTGTCCTTTGGCTTCGATCGCAAACGCTTAACCGATTAGACCACCGAGCCGTCATCCAACGGTGATAGTTTCTAACATCAACCAGTTCACGAAATTACGCGACCAACTTCCGTTATACTGATATAGATACCTGTCTCTACTCGACAAGGATTATCTCCACTGGTCACGGCTTCTCAGTAGAACTCCGAGAATTCCCTCATGAAGCTAGTCACTAGTGAGCACATGTTGATTACTGGTATAGGGGTTGTGACCCATGGTTTACAGGTTAAACGTGCGCATGCGATGTCGAAGGTCCTTGGTTCGAATACTTAGGGTTTGGGATGGTGGATGGGCACTGCTACAGAGTTCCACAAGCGAACTCAACAATCTCCGCATCTCTATACATATAACTGTTATATTAGGGTTGGATTTTATGCACAATTTACATATTAAATTATTTTGAACGGAACAGACTTTAAAAACTAGGCAGTATTGAATAACTGTTTCAACCTGCTATAAGATTTCAAAGAGGCTCCCACTCATAGGAACATAATTATTTGAACTTGGAACCTTAAACCCTTTAGTCAAACTAGTCTACTATAAATCACCGATCTAATATTTAGGGTATTACAATTCTAATTTCAGTCAATTTCCAGTATACTGTACATATTATTAGCTACTAAGATTTAGGACTCAAATCTTCGTTCCGATATGATTGAAGTTCACTAGTCAAGTGTTTATTTAATGGCAATAAATAAATACATTAATGGTGGTAACTGTATTCACCTACATAGCAATATATGAATATAGGATAAGATGTCTTCCATTATTTATAAAGGCAACACTCATTAAAAAAAATTAAAATTTTTCTGTAAAGGTATGATAGAAATAATTAACGTATCATGTATTGCAAAGAATGAAATGTATTAAACAACATACACAATAGATATATCATTCATTTATAGATTCAGTTATTAGGTGGATGCAATTATATTAACCTTCCTAGTTCATATGCAATACGGTTAGTTGGATTATGAAGTAAGATGATAGATTTTAAAGGATGTTTAGACATTGTTTATTACTAAATTCACTTGGTGTTGTGTCACTTGTATCTCCCCATTGACGTTTAAGACTGCAATTGATCAGTCCGTTGTTGGCATATGTGCATACTGTGTATATACCTCGATATTGCTTTAATTCACAAACTTTTTGTAAGCAATGATGGATAGTGGCTAGCAGTGGAATCCAGTTTGACACTTGTCAGCTGGATTTTCCTACATCGCAGAGTTGATGTTTACCCAAGGATTCTATATTTTCTTAAAAAGCTTCTGACTTAAGGCTATAACGAAGTAATCCACACAGGATACACATATATCAAGAAGAGACTGATCAATTGTAGTGCTAGATAACAATGGGAATATACAAGTAAAACAACACCAAGTGAATTCAAACTTCACCCCATTGCTCAAGCAAGTGGCTATCAGGACTCAGTAACTAAATGGATAACGCGATGATGTTTGAAGCGAACGGTACCTTCATAGAAATATAAATTTTGATAATGAAATTTCATATAATTTTCTAGATGTTACTTTTTCGTTTTATGAAACATAAAAGAAAGATATAGAATAGTTCAAGATTGAACTTTCATTTCAAATATAATCAACCGATAGATAACTTTTACTTGTGAATTGAAAACTATTTAACACAACATACCCACAATTGGAAATCTAGAATATTATATAATCTGGAATAACAGGTTGAATTGAAATCAATGAATTTAAATTCATTGGTTCATCGTTTATTCATTACTGATGTAACACAGTTCTTAATGATGATATCAGCATTTGGTCCTGTCTCTCTGTGTGATTTAGTTAACTCTATTGGTTACAATTTCCTATAATAAGAATCTTATACTCTCACAAATCAGTAGTTTATTGCTTCTTAGATTTTAGTGGGCTTTTTTTTAATTTATACTAATTCGCATAATTTAAATCCTTTAAAATTAAAATATATAAAACGTCAGTCATATGTTAAACGATCGGAAGTAGTCAAGCAGGAAATCTTCGATCTAAATTTTAAGCTAGTTAAGACGTGTCAGCAATTATTCAATATAAATAGAGCAAGAACAAACATTGATGCAGAATAGTATGAATTCATATTAATTCGAGGTTTCTCGTCAGCTGCTTACAAAGCAAAATTGTGATAGAATTTGTGTTACATGGAGATAGTGTGAAAATAATTGACATAAATGAGTGTAAATCACTGGATTACAATAATAACTATATATACATATATATGCTAGAAACAGGTCAGAGGTCAAAAGAGGGAGGGTAATCCAGAGTGGGTGGTGTAATAATTTGGTGAACTTCATAAATTATGTGATAATTGTGGTGATTAATGGAATTCAATAATGATAAAGTAGATTACGTAATAATAATTAAATAGAATTTGGAAAGTTAACATAATTTAAGAGGATCAGATGGTGGAAATGTGTGAATAAAATTTATTTTACGAGTTAGGTAATAGGGGGTGGAGTATAAAATATCTTAGAATAAGTAAAATAACCAAAACACAAAACAAACAGAAACAAAAAGATTACCAGGGTAGTGATAAGTTTATTAAAGTCTGTTTTAGGATGCATAAGTGCGGTTTCAGTTTCTTAATTGCAATGGCTTCAGCAAAGCGGAGAGTGGTAGTAGTTCTTTGTCTATTGATAATTTTAAACACGCGTATAATATCGACGGTATGCCCGGTGTCATATATTTTTGAGAGAATTGATTATCACTTCAGCGTTTGAATAGACTATCTAGACTGATGAATCTGTTGCATCTTAATCTACAAAAAGGTCTAGACAAACAAAACATCAGTGATTACTCAATGGTTAATCAATATTTAGTTATTAATGAAAATTATTCATTGTTCATTAAGCCTCAATGATTAAACTCTGCAACACAACTGAAAGTTTCATTGTGTTTTTTTGTTGTTGTAATACACACTAATGTTTATTCATTTTAAATGATAGAAAACCCA